GGGAAAGGGGGAACCCCGTGTTAGGATGAGGTGTTTAATTTTGATTGGGCATGTTATTTTCAGTGGTCAAAAGGGGGCTTTTGATTGCTGGACTTCAATACTCTGATAGTTGGACATTGGTAGTTAGCCTCAGGGAGGAAGTGGACAAATAGAGGAATAGACCTTGGTGGCTAGTTTTAGGAATGTAAGTTACTTGTTTAGCAAAACAAGGGGAATGGAGGAAGCGCAAGGCCCATCACAGCCCCTTCAAGAAGGACCTCTGATCTAACATGGTAAACTCCCCTGCAGGATTTCTTTTTTTTTTTTTTTTTTTGATCGTTCAGCTCTTTATTAGACCACCAGGTGTTTTAGACAGGCAAAGAATCCCAACTTTACAGAGTTCAGCAAATGCAACATAAACAAAAGCAACACAAGTTTACATCATTAAAACAAATGTTGCCCAGCATAAACAAGAGAAACACACCTTAAAACAATATTCTACAACAGTAGCCAGCTTTGGTAGCCTTGCCTTCCCCACCAAGATGGGTGACCTCTCTTCTTAAATCCCCGCCTCCCTTAGGTGACAGAAATCTTTAATAAATAAACAAATAAATGAAAATTAAAAAAAAATAAAATAAAAAAAAAAAGAACTCCACTCCTCCCATTGATTGTTAGGGTTCTCATTCCTGTGATCAAACACTTGACAAGAGCAACCCTGCAGGATTTCATGGAAATGAAAAGTCTCTGAGGTTTCCCTGCTGTGAAAACAGAATAACATTTAAGTTTTAGACAGATTATATCCAGATAAAGATTTAAGGCTCCTGGAAGCACTGAAAAGTTGTTTTACTAGCAAAAACGGGGGGGGGGGGGGGGGGGGGGGGGGGGGGGGGAGATGTATAGAACTTAATGCCTTAACTGTAACATGGCTTGACAATAGCTGTTTATACAAGATGAATTAAATACTTTAAAAAGTGTATGGTCCTTGAATAAATAAACATGGTGAGGCTTCTTAAACACTAGCGATTAAACTGAAATGAATTCAGCACATCTCTAAAGTTGGGTGTTCACTTCCCCTTTCTCCTGACAGTCACAAAGTTAGCAGAGGCTGGGGCAGGAAGACAAAGCAAGGCCCTTGCTGAGTTCAGGCAAGCGTTGAGTTTCTATAAAGCAAAATATTTCTTTAACATTTAAAGTGGGACAGAATCAATTCTCAATTCTCATTATTACCCAGAGGACTCCACCCCCTTCTTTTATTGATTATAAATCTTCTCTCATCTCAGCTCCTCCATAACATAATATTAATAATACTTCTTTGATCCCCTTTAGTGGAGTTTTGACACGGTTCTGTGGTCTGGGCGAAACCAAGCTGCTACAGAAAAGGCAGCTGGTATTTTTTCTGCAGATCGTTTGACAGCCAGTTTCACCAAAATTTATATTTCCACCATTCTCTAAGTCACAGAACAGTCATTGCACAAAATTGCTCAGTTTTAATTATATTTCCTCCTATGTCTCTGACTTCTTCTTGGCCAAAAAAAAAAAAAAAAGAGTCAGAGTCTCAAAATAGAAACGGCAAAGAGGGCCAGAACAGAAGATAAAAAAAAAAAAATCTATCTGATATGACAGGGGTTGCTTTAACATCGTGGCCCCCTAAACCATTTGTAACAAACACAATTAAATAATGAAATAAAATTATTTTCTTCCCTCCACCAGAGATGAAAGGGAAGAAAGTAGAAGACTTTGATTTTTTTTAATTTTTTTGCTATTTTTGTTTTAGGGTTTTGTTGTTGTTGTTGCTGTTGTTCCTTTGTGAACAGTGATTCACAGAAAAAAGTAGTAGTCCTTTGTCCAGGAACTACCTATGATATTGAACAGGAGAATGACATTGATCCAGAGACTCATTTGAGGCACAGAACAACACAACTGTCGTAACCATGGTGACTGGAGGCAAAACAACTTTAAAAATAACATGTCAGTTTGTTTTAAGATGGCCTATCCATCCTGAATCTTAATCATAGAATGAGGTAAAACATGAGAAAAAAAATTTAGGTTTTCTTTTCCATGCACCCTTTTCAAGGTTGACATGAGGATGTAAAAATAAAGGCAAAAACCAATGTACTGTGAACGTGGTGAGCAATGCAGGCAGAAGCTGATATTCAAGAAACGCCCACTTTTCTATAAAGCACATTCTCCCCTTTCTACGTGACATCGAGTTTATGGTTTTAGGCGTCAACAAGCACAGCCCCTGATATCTGGCTCTTAGTACACATGCGTAACCTTGCTTCCCAGTTTGCTTCACTTTGCACCGCTTACATTTATAAATTCTACTTTTCCCGATCTACCAGTTACATCTGCAGCCAAAGCATGTCTTCCCCAAAGAGGAGTTAAGGCCAAGCAAGACAAAGAATTTGCTGATAAACATGTATCACTCCAAGAACGCCCCTGACAAGTGACCACACCCAGTTTAATTACTTTCCCACTGTAAAAACACTTCCCATCTGCATCTATTCTAATCATTTCAAACCCAAAATAAACACTCTGTAAAGCTAGCTAAACACACGAATGACATTTGCTTTAGGCTCTAAGTGGGGCAGCATTCTGTCAGGCAGCGTGTTCCCTGGTGTACATTTTATGCTGATACATTGTTCCATATGAAGTTCAATTTTTTTTATATTTCTTCAAAATGCTCTTACAAAATCCTTGACTCTAAAATTTAAGATGAAAAACTCTGCTCTCTCTCTCTCTCTCTCTCTCTCTCTCTCTCTCTCTCTCTCTCTCTCTCTCTCTCTCCCATTGCTGTATTAACTAAGTGCCAGTTTGGGCATCCCTAGAGCTAAGACTTCAAGCAAAGCTGATGCCGACGGGAGGGCAGAGATCAGTCAAGAAAATGAACAGCCATGAACAAGAAGCTTGGCTCTCCTGAGCTGAAACTGTCTGTGGGTTGTCCTGAAGGCTATTATATCATGGGTTTCAGGAAGACTTGTAGTTTTCACTCACTTCAAGCTTTAGAGTTCTTAGAAATTGATTTCCCCATTTACCTACTTTATGGGCAATTTTAAGGAATAGCTAATCCATGGCAAAGAATCGTGAATTCTAAAGAACCCACTTGCTTTTCAATTATAGAAATATGTATCTGTAGAAGCTAGAGCTAATGGGCCAAGCAGTGAGTTTGTTAATACAGTTTCTGTGTGATTATTTTAGGGCTAGGTGGCCTCCTTCCGACATATATCATTAAATAATAGGACAAAACAATAACTTTAATTTTTAATCTTTAAAAATAACTGTTATTCATCTTAAAAGCAAAATTATATCTTTTGTGCTTTTTAATTTTTTTCTTTTTTTTTGGGGGGGGGAATTTCAAACCTAGAACTCTAAGCCTTTTATTGAAGTCTTTATCACTTAGCTATACACTCAACTTAAAATAAATTTTTTTTTATGGAAAGAAAGGCAAGGATTTTCCATATAGTAAAGAAGGATTTAGTTTTCAAACTGAAATCTTTAAGCTTTAAATTTTTCTGTTACTTTTTTAGCACAGTGACACCATTTGTACCAAGAGTGAATTGTTGCTGTAGTTTTCTGATGACTTAAAATGCACTTAAGGATAGTTGTATGTCAAAACATGCTGAATAGAATTAGATGTGAAATATTTGGCATTAAATGTTCGTGTTAAGGAAAATTACATTGCTATTTTTCAACTAGCTCCCTTCCACAGGTTGTTAATAATAATTATCTAATCAATCCTTGCAAACTAAATCATAGACATGTTAGTCATAGAAGCAGAAAAATTATTAAGTACCACCACATAAACAGGGCCTGTAGACCTCCTCCCTACACCTTCTAGAGTATTATGCTTTATAGGCAAAAACAAAACAAAACCCAAATGATTATCAATTTTGTATGGCCTTAAGAAATGAAAATTACTCAGTCCTATTTTAACAACTAATTATAAAGAGAAATGACCAGATGTAATAATTCTGTATTATGTTAAAAGCCCATTAATTATTTCAAGGAAAAGAAAAAGAGTACATAATCACTTAATATATAGAAGAATCAATTACAGGAATATCATACCATACAAGAATTCCTTGAATGGCAAATGGATGACCCAAGATGTACACTGACTTTTCAAAAGGAAAGCATGGTGGCCTTAGCCGGTTAATGAGATCTGTATTGTTTTGGTGTACTGGGAATAATCACCACATTCATCCAATGCAGAAAAAAGGCAATATACCAGTACCCATGCCATAATAAGCAGTGTCTTAATGAGATAGAGTAGGTCATACAATTAACATGTTAAGGACATGTGCTTTTTATTGTCATGGTATTCATAATCCTCTTACTCATCCATTTAAAACTGAGCCCTAGACTCTGAGAAGAAAAGCACTGGCAATGCTCAGGCCCAGAACAAATCTCTTGGGCAATTGGCCCATCCACAAACAACTGAATACTGTTAAAGTCCTACTGAAAGGCTTTATTTAATTCATCTTTATTTTTATTATTTAATTTTACTTTCATTTTTATTAAAAAGACTATCTCAATTTATCTTTTCTACCAGGTACCCCAAACAATAAATAGAATGCTGTTAATTTTGAAATTTTAAATTTGTTATTACTCTGAAAAATCTAGTAACATTTCATTAGAAAGAAAAATACAGTGTTTAAAAAATAGCAGATTCCATGATTCAGTACCAAATACAATTCCAGATATAAATAGGTACACTGAAAGAGAGAATTAGAGTGAAAAATTAAGGTTTTCAAAATAATATCTATGGAAAAACTTTTTAAGTATTTCCAGAGAAGCTTGTATTATTCTTGGAAGCTGACTTCAATCAAGTTCTTCTAAAATGAATTTTGTGATTAATAATACCCTTGCCTCCTATACACACACACACACACACACACTCACACAACCTTAAAAATTCTCAGTGCTTCAAATCTCCTTCATATCGAGTTTAGAGTGCAATGACTTTATGGTTTTTCAAAACTGCAATTTTTCTTAATGAAGTATTGACTTTATCACCATACCTGGAATTCTGGGGTTCTGAAACATCGGATTCTGGGCACGTTTTCTTTACCTGTAAAAAAAGAATACTGGTCATTCTCATAAAAAAATGCAACTTTCTCACTCAGGGTCACACGCTCTTTAAATACCAAGTGGTTACAGTTCTGTTCACCAACATTTCTGTAAAATTCTCTCCACTTTATAGCAATGGTGTGCAGTACTAGATACCACATTTCATTACTGTCAAGGGACCAGCTGCCAAAGGTACTTCCCTGGGCTCTATTACTATGCAAAATGTTTGGTTAAAATAGCTGGGGATCAGCCGAACTGAGAACAAAGAAACCAAAGAACCAAGTTTCCCAGTTAGGAACTAGGAAGTCACACTATTCTCAGTCCACTGAGAATGTGTCTCCAGTGGACATGGCTTCTGTCTCCCATTAAAGCACACAATAATAAAGAGTGTTCGTGAAGTCCTTCCTGTGTTAATTTTCCATCTTCTTGATCCTTACTGAGTATTTTATGTATTCTCAGCAAGTCAATTAAGTTTGCGCATTGATCGTCGACTTTCCACACATATGTGCAGTTAGTACCAGGCACAAAGTCCAGATCAACTTGAGGGTTTTAATCTACAATAAGGAAGGAATGAAAATAGCATTTGTTTCAGCGGTTTGCTAGCCACTTCTGGGTAGAAATATGCAGTTCACCTTTTCAAGTGAGGCAAAACACAAATCCACGGTCTTTTACATTTAACTTCAAGTTCAGACACCCATCTAAAGTGCATCACTTTATGTGGGAATGGCTTTTGAGACTCAGTGCCTTAGAGTTTGCTCTGTACCTGAGGATAACCTTGAACTTTTTATCCCCCTGTCTCTATCAGCTAAATATTGGGATTACAGGTGTGTGCTACAATACCCAGTTTGGTTACTGTGGTCACTTAAGAATGTTGTATTGCAGCAGATCCTTCTAAAATCCTTCAGTCCATATTAGGACTGTAGAATATACATTTCCATGTCACATATTATGGATATACATATTGTGGAGGTCTGTCTGTGCAGTTTACAGGATCAAGGGAGCTTTAACTTCAAATATGTAACCTGGAGGGGAAAAAAGAATGTCTACACAAGACAAACTTACATTTGAGTTGTGCACATTGCAAAAAAATATGTATATATATATGTATATATGCATATATATATGTATATATAAATATATGTATCTATATATCACCTTGAAAGGACATTTTGAATGTTTAGGCTGCACTACTGATTTCAAGCTCACAATATAATTCCTTCTTCCTCTGCTGACTCAGAAGAATGCTTTAAAAACAAAACACTCAACTCCTCACAAACATCTCTGACTTCTGCTTCACTTCTTAGCCTGGGCGTGTTTGTTACCTTGGAAACCACTGGTTCAATTGATCAGCACTACCCTCTGTTTTACTTTCTCTACACGAGAATAACACTGACTAACAAAGAAATTGTCATCCTGTCCTCTTAGGTGACTTTAGGACTGAAAGATCTAGGGGTGACAAAATATTTTCAAAAGTAATTAAGAAGAGAAAGTAGCGAGCTAGCTGAGACAGTGCTCGAGAGCTCATCTGGGCAGTGATGATGAGGAAAAGCTAGAGCTGACCAACCCAGCTACCACCCAGGCCCAGAACAAGAGCCATGAGTTGACCTACCCCAACATCCACCAAATCTATGTACTGTTGGAGCATGTGAAGGGGACAAACCTACAGTTCCAAAACAGTAGGATCTCCATGCCATAGGACAGCAGGATATTCAAGAGGAGCCCCAGTGAGAGCCCCTTATGGGTGGTGTAGCAGAAACCAGGGGTCTGGAGCCAGACCGATGACTCATGGTATTGAACACTTGCAAACAAAGCCGAATGGACGAAAGGGTAAACTGTGTGACTCAACCTGCCACACTAGCTTCTTTTTGTTTCGTTTTTTTTTTTTTAATTTTTTGCTTTGTTTTGTTTGATTTTTGGTTTTTCTTTTAAATTTGGATTTGTTTCGGGGGGGGGGGTGAGTTGCAAGAGCAGAGAGCAGATGTGAGGGGACAGGGAGATAAGTGGGATTGGAATGCGTGAAGTGCAGAATGTGAATTCCACAAAGAATCAATTAAAAAAAAAAAACAAAAAAGAAGGAAGAGAAAATACACATAGAAAGGAAAAAGGAATGCTTTTCCTGCACTGTCCGTGTGACACTGGGTTTGGCACTGTCCACTGAAGCCTGGGTTTACAGTGGGTATGTAATTGAAGACAATGACTCTCCCTTTCCAAGAACATATCAGTATGCAATAGACCAGCAGCAGAGTTAGGGTTCTCTGAGCCCTGTTCTCGTCCATAACTGTTGAGAGAGCTAGTCTTATGCAGGCCCAGGAGACATAGCTCCAGCTGTGAAATGCCTAGAAGCTGACATTTTTCTGCCTTCCTCGCTTTCTGAAGAAGGTGGGTGAGAGTGGAAAGATAGGAAAGAGTGGGAATTAGAGTAATCACTGCAGTACACGTCTATGAGATTATCAAAGAACACACTGGCTTAATATAGTTATTTTTCTAAAACAGAATGTAATTATTTTTCCAAAACACAATTATTTAATTTAGTTCCCCGTATGAAGTCTTTGATAGCCTCATTGTCTGAGAAAATTAAAAACTAAAGGGAAGAATATTATGATACAGATTTCCTATTCCACCGATATTTTTCATTATGATTCATCACCAGAGCTTGTAGAGAGCTACCAGATGAATGCACAGAAATCACTCCAGAGTAAATGCCACTTTCCTCAAGATGATGACATGGGGAGTGACCAAAGTTGCGCCAGAACAGAACTGTAGAGACACACCCTCCCAATCAACCAGAACACAACAGTAGAAACACACCCTCACAATCAAACCAGAACACAACAGTAGAGACACACCCTCCCAATCAACCAGAACAATAGAGACACTCTCCCAATCAAACCAGAACACAACAGTAGAGACACACCCACACAACAAAACCAGAACACAACAGTAAAGACATACCTGCACAATCAAGCCAGAATACAATAGAAGAGACCCTCACACTCAAATCAGAATATAACAGTAGAGACACCCCACCCCAAATCAAGAGACTGCTAACAAGCTTCCTGTAACATGTACACAGACTTTTTTCAGGCTTATCATTTACACCCATAAGAAAAAAATTGTTATTTTTTTTTAGCTATTGTTAGAGTTGTATTTCTACCTCAGTGGTTATTTGGTGTGGGAAGTCCTTCTGTATATGTGTTGCTTTAATTGGTTAATGAATAAAGGACCTGTCTTGGGCCTGCACATGGCAGAACAGAGCTAGGTGAGGGGTGGGGAGGAACTAAACTGAATGCAGGGAGAAAGAAGGCAGAGTCAGTGAGAAGCCATGTAGCCCTGTCAGAGACAGATATTGGACAGAACCTTGCTGGTAAGCCACAGCCACGTGGCGATACACAATTAATAGGAAGGGATTAAATTAAGATGTAAGAGCAAGCTAATAAGAAGCTAGAGCTAATATGCCAAGCAGTGATTTAATTAATATAGTTTCTGAGTGGTTATTTCAAGTCTGAGCAGCCAGGAACAAACAAGTGGCCTTTTACTACAGTTATTAATACTGAATCCAGTTTTCTCATGGCCAGATGAGGAAAGAATCATCTTTAGGATGTGTAAGTACTGAATAAGAATTGAGCAAAAGCATTGTAGGTATGTAGGGAACAAACTAACTGAGCCAAAAGGGGATGAAAAAGAAGTAATGAACTGATCACTGAACTGAGCATTAGAGCCTGTAAACTGTAAAGACTCTGTCTACCTAAGGGTGGGTATTTTACTAACATGGGGTTTGCTAGACAAAGCACATGATACCTCCCTACACCATGGAAAGAACTTAAAAATTTACCTTTGGGCAGGGCAGCCTATTGAAAAGTTCTAAGATACATGTGCAGTGGAGATGACCTAGAAGATATGTGGAAAGGGGATAAAAAGAATGTTGATGGGCAGAAAGGAGTCTTCTAAAATAGTAGATAGTCTAAGCTCCTTGAGTTCACAGTTGCCATTGACCTTGTCAATACTATATCCCCAGTATTGAGGAGGTGCTTGATCATATGTGAGTCAGCACTTTAGCAGTGAGGATGGGGAAGACCCAAGCTGAAATAAGAGCTAAGGGAGAAATGAAAGGATGTTTGTACAGACATTTCTGAGCAAAACTGTTGAATATTGTAATTGACTGAAGTACTAATATGATCTGAAAACTATATCTGTTCTTGAGAAACTATAGCTATACAAAAGTCCAAAACCTTTTTTTTGTTTTATGATGACTTCGAATTTTTATTTGTTTACATATCAGTTTCAGCATCAGGACCTGTAACCTGGGGCATGTAGGTAAGTGTTTTAGCACTAAGCTATATCCAGCCACTATCTTACTTCTTAATTAACAGAGAACAGTTAAATGGAACTTCAAAAAAAAAAAAAAAACTTAGACAGTCGCTAAGCTTACTATGTCCCCTGATAATGGAAGTAGATACCAACTGCATAATTCACCTGCTTTGGACTAGTTCTTCTACTTAAATAGCACCCACGGAGTCACATTGGTTATGGAAGTAAGCATATTCTTACAGAATACACCACTCCTATCTCCAGTATAATTCCAAGTTACTTTAAATTGTTTTAAACAATGTGGAAACAAGCAGGGCTAGAAATAAGATTGAAGTTCATGGTCATAATTTAAGTGTAAACCCTGGTTTTCATATGATATCCAAGAGTTCAAAGCTAGCATGGGTTACAGATATAGTGAAAGTCTTGTTCTACAAACCAATCAACTAGATAATCAATAAAAGGAAAAGAAAGAGAGGCAGATAGATAGATCAACAAATGACGCTAGATAAATGATAGACAGAATAGGAGATAGACATACAGACAGACAGATAGATGATAGAAGATAGGTTAGAAAAGGAAGGATAAAGTGAAGAAGAAAATGAAGAGCTGAGTTGCAAATACTTAAACACCATGCCCAAATCCAAGCACTAGCATTAACTCATCAGGAATTAGAAATAAAGCTATACATCAAGT